TTAAATGTCAAAAATAATTTAAAGGTATGATTTGAGAATATGAAATTTTTTAATTCTAGCTTTTGTTTTTCAGAGATTTATTCAGTATTTGGCCTCTAGAAATACACTGTTCAATCTCAGTAATTTTTTGGACAAAAGTGGATCCCATGGTGAGAATATGAAAAGTTTTATATATTTATATGCATATTGTTGATAATTCTTTATGTTTCCATGTACAGTTATTAATCCAAAGTCATTTAATTGATATCTTTAAACTCAACACATAAAACATTATATTTTGTTCAAATTTACCGTGTTCACTTTAAAAAGTAACATTGGGAATGCTAGACTCACTGTTTATGAAGGTGTAGGAAATGATAAAGATGCCTTCTAAATTTTAAAAGATTGTAGTATTAAAGAAATTTTTTCTTCTAGATTAATAGATTTAGGTCATTTGTTCATTATGTTTACTGGTCATGTGTTATGCATAAACATATCAAACAGACTGTCGTTAGATGGTTGTGCTAACACGTATGACACAGACTTATTTGAAACCATGAAAAAAAGAAACACAAGTAATAATTACAAAAGAAATTGTATACAAAGAAGGTCAAGAAAAGTCATATGCCAAAACTATTTTCTCCTAGAAATAGAATTTTAAATGAGTCCTGCAGATACACTTTTTGACCTTGTCCTAGAACTGTATATATTTGAAGGATTAAAGAAATAGCTATGCAAAAGACAGTTGAAAGTATTTTATCGATTTTTTTCCCCTTCTCTCTCAGGTTATGACATGTCTACCTTCATAAGGCGCTATAGTAGGTATTTAAATGAAAAGGCTTTTTCATACAGACAGATGGCATTTGATTTTGCCAGAGTGAAGAAAGGGTAAGTTGTCTATCTTCATACATTTATTTGAGCAGCAGAGTTCTCTAGGTCTACTTGACTTACTTTAACTCAGCTTATATACCCATTAATTTTGATCATGAAACCAGTTTATAATCAGCTGAAGAAGCAGCTCAATAAAGTTAGCCTTGAAGTTGGAATATGTATTATTTTATTAGTATCTTCATGCAGAAAAATATGATTTTCTACTTAATGTTTACATAGTATAAGATTAATAAGATTTTAAAATTAACTTGAAATTGTTCTTTATGCTGCCGAGCTAAATCCCCAGCCCCTCAACTTGAAATTCTTAGACATCTAAATGTCTTTAATACCTATTTCTGTGTGTTTGATTGAGGTGAGAATGAACTTATATGTATGATGATCAGTTTTTGAAAGCTGATATGTCCTAGGAAACACATGCATGTCATAGTGCAATTAATTATTGATAACAACCGCTGATTGAAAACATTAAAACAAAAATATTTGAATTTTAATCCATAATTATAATTTACTTCCTTCTAAATAGATATTTGAGTTTAATCAAAATTATTCATCCAGAAGTTTATACAGATCTTTTGTCTGTTCCTAACTTGAAATAATGGGAAGAAGCTTTAATGTTTTAGTTTCAAGAAACCAAATGAGAAGGTATAACTATCTTTGTAATATTTTACCTTAATTCTGAACTACTTTTTAATCATGGTAATGAAAAATATGAACTTTGATATTCAAAAAAATTCAGTTTCCTGTGAGTGAATATTTTATAGAATTGGCTTTTTTCTTCCATTTCCTTTTCACTAGAGCTGATTTTAGTTCTTACTAGAAGTCCCTCTGACTTCTTACATGGCCATATGTACTTTTCGATGTTCTGTGCTATAGTGTGGGCTTTCCAAAATAGATGTATGGCCTGCACTCCTACTGGACACTTACGGACACTCTGGAATGGTTTCCCCGCCACTGGGGTGGGAGAGACTCCAAGAGTTGCCATTACAAGCCTGTCCTTGTCACCTGGGTATTTTTCTCAGTTACAGCAACACTGTTTGCTCCTTGACCACCACTGGAGGTAGGAGCTCCTTCCGAGGAGCTGGGTGTAGGGTAGGTATATGGGTACAGGGCACACGCACGCCTCTGATTCCCTTTTCAGCACCAACTTCCATTCTGATGCCTGCTACTAAAATCTTACCTGCATTTTGGCAGCCTGTCCTTTCGGCATGTGTTTTTCTTCATTTGTTTGTTAGTATCACAAAGGGTATTCCCAGTCCTATAGGGTTCATAAACTTCCAAGGCATGTTTTCTCATAAAAGAAAAACTGCCCTTTTAGAAAGCATATTTTTACCACTTTCCTTCTGTTGAAGTTTTTTTTTTTTTAAATCGATTGAGAAATTCAGATGGCCCCTGCTATCCAGAGAGTATTGCTTTGTTCCTGAGAATAGTGTACAAGGAAAGTGTTGCCTGGGGCCGGGGATACCGCTCAGTGGCACAGCGCCTGCCTGGCAGGCTCAGGTTCATGAGTTTGATTCCCAGTATAATTAAAAACAAAATAAAACAAAAATAAAAATTAAAAAGAGAAGGCTTTGCCTGCGTGGTTGAGGAATGTAAATGCACAGAAGGAGGTAAGACGGAAATGAGAAACAGCCACAACCGCTTAGTGTCTCCTAAAGGTCCTGCAACATTAACGAGGAAACTGAGATGAGGCAGTTTAGAACAATACCTGTGGTACTGAATTTTCCATATACCAGGGAGTTTAATCCTTTGCTTTTTAAATACTATTACAGGGCTGATGGTGTAATGAGGACAATGGCTCCTGAAAAGCTACTAAAGAGTATGCCAATACTACAGGGACAGATTGATGCGCTGCTTGAATTTGATGTATGTATCTCATCAAAAAGTGTTTCTTGCATAATCAATATTGTCTTTCCTTTGAAGGTGAGCTGTATGCAAATCCAGAGGTTTCTTGGGAGGCAGCTTGAGATCTTCCTCATTTAAATGAATGAGGTGAATACTTAGTTCAGGCTGTTATAGAGATGATCTAGGTTTCCCCAGATTTTGCAAGCAGTGTGCCAGGTTTTCACTTAAGTTACAGAAAAATTCAAACACTGAACTCTTGGATATTTATGTTCTTAGTGGGACGATGGCTGTCTGATGGGCTTGACAAATGAGGTGTCTGCATGATTGTACGTGCGGGCCAGTAGATGACTTGATCTGCTGGGTTTTCTGTGGATTTCTCCACTGACACTTCCCACTAAAGATAATTATTTTTGTTTTATCATCAGTAACTTTGAGTCCTTCCTGGAAATATTAGTGTGATTTGTCTCTTAAAATCATATGTCTGTCAGTTTTGACAGTAGATAAACCAATTCACTCAAATAATAAAATTGTATGAAACTAAAGACATGGGCACACATACACACACACACACACACACGCACACAAATTAGTACACATTCTCTAGCAAAATTGGAATAAGATCTATTGATTGCATTGTTAGTATCTGGATTGTGATTAACTATAGTTATAAAACAATCACTTTGTAAGGTATTATGTTTGGAAGAAACTTAGCAGATGATATGTGGGATCTCTGTATTACTTCTTACAGCTAGCTCATAATTAAAAGTTTTAAAAATCTGAGTCATGAAAATAATACCTATTTTACATGTAGGAAAATTCTTAACTCACATTGTCAGCTTTTTCTGTATTTTGGTGGTTGCCTAAACACTTTGCTCAAATATTAGTAGCTTAAAGTCTCTGTTAAGATTATGTGGTTTAGTCTATCATTGAGCTCTTGTAACACCTAAATTCTGTCACATTTCAGTAAAATCAGCAAATTGTATTACTGTTCTTTTGACAGATTTTACAATAAATACATTTTTAGATTCCTGTGTAATTGCTTAACTTTTTTTCTTTTTATTCCTATGTTTTTATTTGTTTTCCCTGCCCTTAGTTAGGGTTCTTCCTTAAAGAGGAAATGTTGTATAGAGGGGAAAAAAGCAAGCTGAGGAGTTGTGAAAAAGGACTGGGGAGTGAGGAGAAATTATTTTTTTCTGTGTTGCCAATAGAGTATCTATTGTAGTACGTGAGTGAATGACTACCAGTCTTAGGAAGTATTTGAAAGGGAGCTGAGTAAGATACTCTGGACGCTATTCTTCCTCTGGGGCCTTCAGAGACTGGTCCATTTTACAGAGACATAAAGTAGGAGAAATGGAAGAGATATACTATAGCAAAAGACTGAATGTTGAAAACTGGCTTTGAGTGATTTGTGTATCATTGGTCAAAAAGAAGTGTATGTCTTTTGAGTGATAGGTCTAACTGTATAGATTTAAATTGAAGCAACAACATTTGCAATGCATCTTTTGATATTCTTAGGTTGTTAAAATAATTACCCCTTTGTATGCTTTGATACTGTGACTTGAACAACTACCTCTAACTATGATGTCATAGTTGAACAACTATGATAATGTGTAATCTATTAACTGGTGATTTCCTTATTGTTTTTTTTTTTTGTAGTTCTGTATTACTTGTACCCTTACACTGCTTTGTTTTGTTTTGTTTTTTCTCTTTTTCCTTTTAAATAAAACTTTTAAAAAATCACCCAACATGTGTAGAATATGAATTTTTTAGTTATTATTTGAGACATTTTAATATGATTTGAGAAAATACTGATTTGATGCTATACAACTAACATTAAATTTTTGTCTTTTCCTAGGTGCATCCAAATGAACTAACAAATGGTGTCATAAATGCTGCATTTATGCTTCTTTTCAAAGATCTTATCAAACTTTTTGCTTGCTACAATGATGGAGTTATTAACTTACTTGGTAGGTGAAACTATAAAAGGGCTAGGCACTGTGCTACACCTCCGTAGTCACAGGTACTTTGGAGCTCTGAGGCAGGAAGATTGCTTGATTCCATGAATGTAAAGTTAACTTAGCTATATAGTGAGACACCATCTCTTAAACACAAACACACACAAGGCAGTTTAAGAATGTAAGAATAGAAGGTAAAAATAAGAATAAAGAACATGGACAAAAAATATAAAATAGTAAGAAATATAACAGATATCAGTCTATGTCAATATGTCAGTGTCACTTAATGTATCTATAATCACTTAAAAACTCAGGAGTTTGGATGCACTGAATATACTTAACTTGCAGGGGAGATATCATGATCAGAAAGGTGGTTTTCCCAGGACAAGGCTTATCCATTGCACTCTAAATGTGCTGACTTCTGTGATTTCCCCAAATGTGGAAAAATCGACTGCATAATTTGTGGTAGTGGGGAACTGCATTCATATATTGCCCTAAAAAATAAAATAAGAATAATAAAATAAATGCACCAATTAAAAGACAAAGAGATTATCAGATTGCATCAAAAACAAAGTTCAGGTATATGGTAACTACAAGAAATCTACCTTATATATAAAGACTCACACAAATTAAAAGTAAAATAAATACATGGAGAAACATATCCCATTGTAACTATAAAGAATTTTCAGGAGTAGCTGTATTAATTTTAGACAGGGAACAAAAATGATTTTGGGAGAAAAGAGAGCATTGCATAATGATATTAAAGTGTCAGTTCCCCAAGAAGACAGATAATCTTAGTGTGTATTTACCTAGCAACAAAACATCAAACTACAGGACCTAAAGACCTGTAGAAATGCCAGGAGAAGTGGATGAATCCACTATTACAAGTTGGAGATGTCATTATTCTTCATCATTACTTGTCAGAAGTAAACAGATCCACCAGGCAGGAAAAAGTAAGGACTGATGTGATCTCAAAATCAGTCAACCGAATATAATGGATATCTCCTGACTGTTTTATCCAGTAGCAGCATACTATGTGCTCTTCTCAAGTCTGCATGGAAGGTCACAATTTGGGCCATAAAATATACCTTAATGAATTTAAAAGAATGAGAAACTGAAAGTGTAAATAATCAAAATGTTCAATAGATATTGTAAAGTAAGAAAAAATTGTTCAAAAGGAAAAGAAACTAGTTGAGGGGGCAGAGGGAAAGGAAGGAAGGGGAAAAAATGAGGAAAGGAGGATAAAATGGAAATAGCTTTGTGAATAAGGAGAAGAGGGGTTAAAGGAAAGGGAGATAAATGGGGAAAAGAAGAGGACTCGAGATACATCATAGACAGGTACAAATCTGCTACGATAAATGTGATCATTGTGCGTATCTAAATTGTACCAGTAAACTTAAAGAAAAATAATGTCCACTTTCCAACCATAACAGTATTAATCTAGAAATCAAAATATCAAAGATACAAAAAACCTGAAGAATCCCAAAACAGTGACAATTAAATATCATGCTTCCATGAACAAGAGAATAAATTTCAGGAGAAATTTTAAGATATTTTGAACAAATAAAAATTAAAATACAGTTTATCAAAATTAGTGGGATCAGTGAAAGCAGCATAGACCTTCCTTAGTTTAATAAAAAAAAAAACTTCAAAAACTTATAGCTAACATGATACTTAAAGACAAGCTAGAAGTTTTTCCACTGAGATCAGCAACAGGAAAAGGATATCCTCCCTCCTTCCTACTTTTTAGCATCATATTGATGGTCCTGTTTAAGGTAATCAGACAAGAAGAGGACAGACTTAATAACAGGTTAGGAATGAAGAAATAAAACTGTATTCATCTGTGTAGAAAATCTGAAAGAATTACCCCAAACAGCTTCTGAAACTAACAAACAATTGTAGCCAGGTTGCAGGATAAAAGTAAATATACAAAACACTGAGCACTTTCTGATATGCTAACAATGAATAAGTGGGATATGAAATTGAAGATGTATCTTTTGCATCAGCAAACATGAAATAACTGGGAATAAGCTAAGAAGCTGTGTATATACTCTTAATGAGAAAAGCAATAGAACTCTGATGAAAGACATTTAAGAACTAAGTAGAGAGATATTAAATGTTCATGTTTAGGAATACTCAGTACTGTCAAGATATTAGTTCTTTTGAATCTATAAGTTCAATACAATCACACAATATGGATATCAACGAACTGAATATAAAATATATATGGACAACCAAAAAATCTAAAATAGGCAACACTATTGACAGAGAAGAACAAAGTTAAAACATGCAAACTACACAATTTAAAAACCTAGTACTATAATGTTACAGTAATCAGATGGTAAGGTATTTAGGAAAGAAATAGAAACTAGATGAACACAACAGAATAGAGAGCCCAGTAGATTCACATCAATATAACCAACTGGCCTATGACATAAACAAAGATAAGATAATCTTCATATCATATGGTGTTGTAATAGTTGAATATTTATATGTAAAAATATTAATCTAGAAGAGATTTACTCCCTTCACAAAATTAATTTAAAATAATCATAGACCTAAATATAAATACAAAACCATAGAAATCCTAGAAGATAATATAGACAAAAACCTAGGTGACTTCAAGTGTACATAGGACTTTTTAGATATAAGACCAAACACATGATCCATGAAAGAAATAATCTAAAACCTTAACTTCATTAAAGGTAGAAACTATTCCATGAAACAAAATATCAAAAAGAGAAAGTCTTGGGGGCCGGGGATTTAGCTCAGCGGCATAAGTGCCTGCCTGGCAAGCGCTAGGTCATGAGTTCAATCCCCGGGCATGATGGCTCACTCCTGTAATCCCAGCACTCGCACTCAGGAGGCTGAGATGGGAGGATTCTTGCAAGTTTAAGACCAGCCTGGGCTACAAAGTGAGCTCAAGGCCAGCCTGAACTGCATAGTGAGACCCCATCTCAAAAAAGACCAAAAAGAGAAAGTCTTGCCACAAACTAAGAGAAAACATTTGCAAAAGAAACATCTGATAACAGACTGTTACCCAAATACAAAAAGAACTTAAGGTACTCAACAATAAGAAAATGAACAGCCCAGTTTTTAAAGTGGGCCAAAGTCTTTAACAGACATTTCTGTCCTCTCCATTTAATGTTGATAAAACTGCTCTGAAAATATATAGCCTTTTAAAAATTGTCTAGATATGCCCTTTTTCCCTGTGTGTATTCACGCTGGTACAAGTCTCCATACAGAAGACTAAGAAAAGTGCTTTGGGCAGTGTTCAGTGACCTTTCTCAAGATTATGTGGAGGCCTCATTAAAATTTGGATAGGGGACCCTGCCCCGAAATTTCTAATTCAGTAGGTGTGAGGTGGGGCCTGAGAACTTGCATTTCTACTCAGATCCTAAGTGATGCTCTTGCTATTTGCTAGAGTACTTCAGATGGGAGCCACTGCAAGATACTCAGGCTTGAATCCACAATTTTTGGCACATTCACCCAGATTGGTAAATTATAAATTATATCATAAATCTAATGTATTCTTTATTTTCTACCCAGAAAATACAATTCATTCCAATTTTCCAGATTTTTGTCAGTTATGTTGGCTAGATTTAGGAGGAAAATTACAAGACACCTAGTTAAATTTGTATTTGAAGGCAACATGAATAAACTTTTTAGTACTAATAAGCCCTATGCAATATTTGGGTTTTACAGTAAAAATTACTTGTTATTTACCTGCCTTTTAACTCAATATTTTGTATTTATCTGGTGAACCTACTTCCAACAAGTTTGCAAAAATCTTTCACCAGAAGAGCTAGGTAGTAATTTAAATAATTGTTTTGCTCCAATATAGCATAGACTACAAGGATCCTATATTTCAGCATAGATGATCATCATCTTCAAATCTAGTTAGGTTACATAGTTATTCTCAGGTTCCTGAATTAATAATTTGAAAATCTGCACTATGTATATTAAAGAAACAGAAATTGGTATCCAGATTCTAAATAGGAAGGAATTTAATATAGGGATGGTACTTCTATAATTATTGAATCCGGAAAGAACTAGTTATCAGCTGGAATTCTAGAAATGACTCCCAGAATTAAATACTGTATTCTCATTTTAGAAGAGCTACTATTCAAAGGCTACTTATTTAACACATTTCCTGTTTTCCCTGAGAACACTCTTCAACAGTGTTTACAGCCTTAGCATTTAACTCAAGATAACCTGAAGATTGCAGTCATAACATTATCCTCCCAAATTTGTCACCAAACATGTCTTTTATTACAACTTTCACATAGTTGTGTATATTTGATAGTCTTGGAAACAGAAAGCGTCAGTGTATTTATGACATTCTGTTTTTAGTGTGGTATTTTCATTTACAAAATACAACAATTATTGATCTCTGAAAATTAAATGAGTGCTGGCAAGTTGCACTTTTTTCTTCTAAATAGGAAAAGAGTTTAAAGAATGCTAAAAATTAGAAGCTGCCACTACCCCCATAACTGCTTTGCAACTGTAAGGAAGCTTGAAAATGGGACACCTGTAAGCCAGGGATTAAAGAGTCACATAAGTGGCTGTGAGTTTAATGATTGCTTCTCAGAAATCCAGGAAGTTGGGGGAGAAGGTAGAGAGCAGAATGCTGCTGAAAACTGTGTCTGTGATCTTGCCTCTCAAAGCAGCAGCTGGACAGGTATAAGAAGGTGGCTCTAGCTTAGTTTCACCTTCTAGATCTCCTACAGGTCTAATTTTCAGAGCTGAGTGTCTATCCAGAACCCTGACTTCACATGAATTCAAAAGAAAAAAGGGGAGTTGGGTGAGCCTTTCATCAACATCAAACACAGTGCTCTCAGATGTTTTGCTTTTAATGGAGAACTGCCCCAAAAATGAAGTTCAAACCTTAATAATATTTATTTCAGGTCATAAATTTTATCAGGAAGCCAGGTAGGATATATTTTTCCTCTTACCTTTTGCCAACAAACCTTAGTCTTCTTTACTGCTCATAAATGCAAAGCTTCTGCTGAAGTTCACTTCTAGGCATTTGCTTTTCTGCTTTTTCTGTGCACGGTATCTTAGTTCATGAATGTCACTTTTTACACAATCTGAATTGAATGAGAATTGAATCAAATTTCTCAGAGGTCAACAATGTACCTAATCATTGAGTATGACTAGGTTCTTGTCCAGTTCAGTTTGTAACCAGAAACATGGAAAGAATTGTTTGGGAATCAAGGTATCAGTGTTCTTCATTGAAAAAAACCTGTCATTTCCATTATACTGAGCCCCAAATCTGTTATTTTAATTCTTACTTTTTTTTCTAAACTCCAGTTTTGTCCATCTTAGTATTTGTAGGCATTTAAATCTAGATACTATATTCTTAAATAAAACATCAGAACCTTTAAAACTGAACTCCTGAACCCTTCCTAATGTCCTTATTTCTGTTGATACATAGTCTGTTAAGCCTAAAACTTTACTTATCTTTGAGTTGGTCGTCTTCCTAAAGTCCTCAGCT